GTGGCTAGTGTAGAACTCAGGCGGACCACTTAAAATAGACAACCAAAAGTTGTACATGTGGCTAGTTGTACCCTCATCATAATTGTAACGTTGTTAATTATCTAATAAAAAGTCCCTGGCCAAGAGGTCACCTTAACACCGAAAAAAAAAAAAAAAAAAATATAATATACTATATATATATACTATATGTTTATATTATAACTTCATATATTATTTAAATATTGATGATATTGTGGGATTTGTCAACCAAATTTGTGTTTTAATTAAATTTGGTTAACAAATTCCATAACATTCACAATATACTGTATAAGTGAAATTTAAACTAGAGAAAGTATATTTTTAGAATTTTAATATTTTTAGAAAACTAAAAAAAATTTAAGTCATGTATATACTGTTTAATTATATAGTATTAAAAAAAAATTTTAACTTTTTGAAAGTATTAAAAATAGTTTTTTGGTTAATAAAGAATTTCAGAAAAATAAATTATTTGTATTGAACAAAAGAATTGTTAAGGCCAAAAGTAATTCTAATTTAGCTATTTTAATAGTTTTTTTGTTAAAATAAGCTTATATATTTATAAAAAAATAAAATAATATAATTTATAGATTAAAAGAATATATTTTATTCAAAGTTTAAATTAGAAATTATAATTTAGAGTTTTCAAAGTTAACAAATAAGTAGCACTTTTTGAAATTAAATAAGAGTTTAAAAAATCTTATTTGTTTTTCAAGATTTTAATATTAGAAAATAAAATAAAATATTTGGAGATTCCTATTTTATAAATTAAAGCACAGAAATATAATATGCAGATTACTTTTTTTTAAATTATACTTTTAATTTATTAGTTAACAAGCTTAATTAATACAATAGTGCTATTTAAATATAATATTGGTTTTTATTATTGTTATTTTTTAATTTGAAAATATTGATTTAAAACTTATATATAGCAATATATATAAGGCAAAATTGAATATTTGAATACTTTTAGATTGAATATCTGATTCAAGTTAATCATAATTCTTGGTCACTAGATATGAATTCTAAACTAATCTATAAATTTATATTATAATTTATATAACTTAAGTCTAATCAATTGAACATGATGATCTTATTTAGAAAGATTACTAAAATTCTGGTTTGAAATACATAGATATATAGTTTTTAAATATATAAAGTTAAAATTAAAAAAATTATTTTTTAAAAACTATTAAATTAGAATAAAAATTAAATTATAAAAATTCTGGTTAGCTAATTTGGAATTGATAAATTTATTAATGAAGCTAGTTAGTAAATGCCAAGCTAATAATTTTGTTAGATATATCTTTGCAGACAAAAAGTTTTTTTTTTAGATATAAAAGTCTATCTTTACTCTAAAATATAATTTATAATTATTTATAAACAAAACTCATAATATATTGTAGTGCAATAATTTCTTGTACCAAAAATTTTTTTTGTCTAGAATTAGATTCTAATTAGGTCTTAAGGATTGTGAATCTGGGAATTCTTCTCCAAAATTTTTATCTAGTATGAGCATTATAAAAGATTCATCTAATTAAAGTTTAGTAACTATAAATTTTTTGACTTTTAAAAAATAATATTAACTTTCATAAACACAATATGCAGTTATTTTTACTATAATAATGGAACCAAGTTTTTTAATTAGTTTGTTAAATGAGATTAAAGTAAGGAAAATATATTAGCCTTTAAATCTTTAATTATATTCTATTGTAGGTGGTGAATGGTTATTTTTTAAACTATTAATTTCTTTTTTCTTGAAGTAGACTTTAATATATTAAATCCTTTTTTTAATTTGAACTTTGGGAAACAACCACTCATATCTGGGAGTTGTTAGGAGCCTATTTATATGTGTATTCTGAGTATCTAACAACACAACTACAAAATTCTATTCTTTATAAAGATCTATAAAATAAGTCTTATAGCTTAATATTTTGTAAAAATTTTTAATTGCTTATTTGGTATAAGAGTTTTTAAGATTTAAAAATTAAAAAAACTCTTCTAGATATTGATCTCTTTAATTAATAAGAAAAATGACAATATATTTTTAACAAATCTTGCTTTAAACTAGCTAATAATTCTAAATATCAAAACTTTAGTTCTATAATTTTTTAACTTTTTATAATTCATCTGTTCTATTTTATTTACTATTGTTAGCTTGAAATAGTTTTTTCATTCAAAGAAATTAGACAAAACTCATAATGCATTGTAGTACAATAGTTTCTTATACTGAAATCTTTTTTTCATTCAGAATCAGATTCCAATTAGATCTTAAGGATCATGGATCTGGGAACCCTCCATCAAAATTTTTATCTAATACAAGTATTAAAAAAAATTTATCTAATTGAAGTCTAGTAATTATGAAATTTTTAATTTTTAAAAAATAATATTAACTTTTATAAACACAACTTGTGGTTATTTTCACTGTAATAATAGAACCAAGTTTCTTAATTAATTTGTTGAATGGGATTAAAGTAAGGAAAATATATTAGCCTTCAAACTTCCAATCATGTTCTATTGTAGGTGGTGAATAGTAATTTTTAAACTATTAATTTCTTTTTTCTTGAAGTAAATTCCAATGTATTGGATTCTTTTTTTAATTTTAAACCTTGGGGAAGCAACTACTCATACCTGGGAGTTGTTGAGAACTTATTTATATATGTGTTATAAGCATCTAACAATGCAACTACAAAGTTCTATTCTTTATAAGGATCTATAAAATAAGTCTTATAGCTTGATCTTTTGTAAAAATTCTTAATTGTCTATTTGGTATAAGGGTTTCTAAGATTTGAAAATTAAAAAAACTCTTCTAGATATTGATCTCTTCAATCAATAGGAAAAATGACAATACATTTTTGACGAACCTTGCTTTGAACTAGCTAATAGTTCTAAATATCAGAACTTCGGTTCTATGATTTTTTAATCTTTCATAATCCATCTGTTCTATTTTATTTACTATTGCCAGCTTAAAATAGTTTTCCCATTCAAAGAAATCAAACCTCAGTCCAAAACCAATGACATCAAAAACTAACTTTTTATTTTCTACAATTTTGGTTATTACTTCATAAAATTCGAGGAAGTTACGTCCACTCAATAAAACATTTAGAGTTTTGCTTCAGCATTGATCCATGCATATATCTAAGTCCTTCAGTGTTCCAACAGTCAGAAAGTATAGAATCTTCATCAATGCTTAGGAACTTTTTATCTTGATACCAATCTTTGAGTAAATGACCATCTTTAAGAAACACCTCGATGAATTTACTGTCCTATATTTGTGGATTTGGTTAAGGTGATTTGAAAAGAGTTCCATCAAAATCAAATATATTTAGCTTGGTTATTCTTCGAATTGAAGACATGAACACGTAAAAAAAATTAAGTGATGTAAAATAAGTTGAATAAAATTAAGATTGATGTAAGTCGATATGAAAGTATGTAAAAAAATAAGGTCGAAGATTAAATATGTGCAAAGTTTTTCTTAGTTGATCAATTTTAGTGGTTATCTGACACGTTGATGCAACTATCATATATAAATGGAGGAAGAGATGAAGTACAATTACCAGAAATGGAAGATCATAATAATCTTACGACAGGGTGAAACCGCGGAGTTTCCTTATGTCAAGAAAATGATCTACATCCGATATAACACCCAATTTTGATAATATTATATCCATATATTGT